GTGATTTAATCACGTGACTCGCGGGTTTCCTTGTCGCGTTATAAAAGCATCTGTTGTGCGCGGCGCGGGCCCTTTTTGCTTGTGCCGTATTTATACATTGGCGTGCGCTCGCGCATCGTTTCCACTGTGCACCATACATTGTAAGTATTGTTTCTTTGTTCTTGCCTAATTGCTGATAATTTGGATTTTTATTATATAATTTTGGATGTAATGAACATTTCAACATAATCTCAGCGTGTTACTCTCGCTCGTGTCTCATCCGATGCTTCCTCTATCGTCTATAGAGAGGTCTGTACCCGTGCTCGCGTTGCCGCGAGATGACGTGTCGCCGCTCCCAGACCAACCGACGCCGGCCAAGCCCGGCGCCGAGGAAACGAGCAGCGAATCATCGACCTGTGCGAAGCAGGCGACCTGCACACCGGCGCCCCCTGTCTCGCCGTTGTCGCAGATACACGCGAAGGTCAAACCCGCAGGTAACCCGACGCTCTTTGTCAGATTGTAGATTTTTCGCATCCTCGTCACTGTCGTGTGCGAACAGCGAATGTTGGAGCGATGTTGTAAAGTGGCGCCCTCTCTGGTGATTTTTGTGATATTCCGCGTCTGCCGTCGCTCGGTGAAGTGAGAACGGCCAGTATTAATGCGATATTGTATGGTGGCGCCCTCTATCTGCGCGACTAACGTCGAGCATTCGGCGTCGGCATCCGATTGTCAGATTGCGAGGATGCGGCGGGGCGGTCTGTGAGCCCGCTGTCAGCGGGAAAGTTCCTTCCTTCTCCCAGCCCGGTCCTCCTCGCTGCACCGCTGCCTCCCCGTTTGCCGCCGCGGCAACCATCGCCAAGCAACCCGTCGTCAAGGAAGCTGCCGCGGGAACGGTGCTGCCGGGTGTTCATCCCGAGTCTGTACACGTCGCGTCGCCGGGGGTTCGGTCGTGGACACGCGTCGCACCGGTAGCTGGTGGTACTAGTGTTAGGTCGTGGTCACGCCCGACAGTGAAGCGCGGGTTATGTACCTGGTCGTGGACTGAGCCGCGTCGACCAGGTAGCTGAGCGGGGTTGAGTGGTTGGTCGGTGGCTATGCACGCCTTCGATCAGGTAGCTGGGGGTAGGTGGTGCCGCGGGGCTCCCTGGCTCTGTATTCGCCGGCGGCTGGCGGGCCTGCGGCGCCGGCGTGGTTACGGTCGGTGGGATCAGCCTCGACCAGGCCCCGGTCGTACGGGCGGTTTTAGTGGGTTTAGGTCAGCCTGGCATTCCACGCCGTCGCACCAGGGTGCTGTAGTGGTCGCGGTAGGTCGGAGATCCACGCCCGACCAATCTCTGGCGTATGCGGGGGGGTAGTGTTCGGCCGGGTAGTGTCGGGCTGGATGCATCGCTCGACGGGCAGGGTAGCTAGCGTGGTTGTAGGTGGTGCCAGTAGGTCATGGATCGACGCACTCGAGCCGAGGGTAGGCTGCGGTTCAGTTTGTAGGTCGTGCGAGTCCCACGCGCGGTCGGAGCCCCCCAGGTTCGCAGTCGTGGGGTTACGTTGTAGAGTCTGTGGGAGTTGTCATTCTGTGCATTCTTCTGCCCCGTTCTGGTCAGCTGGCGTTAGTGGGAGTAGGTCTGGATCCACGCCGTCCGACCAGGTAGCTGGGGCGTAGTGTTAGCGTAGATCACGCGTCTCGGACCAGGTAGCTGGGCTGGTGATGTCCGTAGGTCGTGGATCTCACGCCGTGTCGGACCACGGGGGTAGCTGGGCTGTCTAGGTCGTGAGATCCGACGCCGTGTGAGCCAGGAAGGGGTGTGGGGGTACGCGGTTGTTGGTAGCGTCGTGGATGCACGCCTCGACCAGGGCGAGGGGGTCGTAGTGTTAGGTCGTGCGATCAACGACGTGCGACACCGTACGCGGGGAGTAGCTGTTAGGTCGGTGGATGCACGCCTGACTCACGGTAGCGGGGTTAGGTGGATAGGTCGTGTGGATGCACGCCTCGACAGCTGTAGTACCTGGGGTATAGTGTGTAGTCTGGCGATGCCACGCCTTCGACCGAGGGGGGCGGGTAGGCGGCGGCGGGGTTGTGCTTTATAGGTCGTTCGTGATCCACGCGCATCGACCAGGGTAGCTGGATTCGTATTATGGTCGTGCATGCCATGCCTCGACCGGTGGCTGGGTATAGTAGTTTCGTGGATGCACGCCCCGACCAGGGATGCAGGGGACGTTAGTGTTATAGGGGGTTGTGGGATGCCGGCCTCGTACCATAGGTAGCTGGGTTAGTGTTAGGTCGTGGATCCACGCCTCGACCAGGTAGCGGGGGTTAGTGTTAGGTCGTGGATGCACGCCTCGACCAGGTAGCTGGGTTAGCGTTAGGTCGTGGATGCACGCCTCCACCAGGTAGCTAGGTTAGTGTTAGGTCGTGGATCCACGCCTCGACCAGGTAGCAGGGTTAGGGATAGGGGAAGCACCTTACCACCTGGACAGGCAGGTTAAATTCGGAGAACTAAATCAAATTCCAAAAGGCTATACAAAGATGACCGAGTTATGTACACACATATACGTAATGTCTTATGGTGATATTGTTGTACAGTTGTTGTTTACAATGACACAATTTTATTGCTATTCGTTGCAGGTTGAAGGCAGGAGTAATAACTAGTGGACACTAGAAACACGAGACTGTTCAACAAGAGAGATGACAAGCAACCGTACTGACTTGAAAATCATGTGTGCAATGTGATATCGATGCTGTGTGTGCGTGTGTGTGTGCGTGTGTGTATCTGCTGGTAGTGCTGTTCCAACGTGGTGGTTAAATATGCACAACGACACGGGGTTACAAACTGTACGATATGTTGTATTCTTTAACTTTACGGTGAGGCTTTCTCATGCTGTATGGGTTTTCATTTGCCCAGGAGCTAATATTCGTTAATGCGAAGTCATTGCATAAGCATATCTAGTTCGCAAAAGTTGGGTTATGTAGAAGCATATCTATACAAAACATTCAGCCATGATAAAAAAACATTATCCGTGTCACTGCAATATTGATTATTTTATCGGATTAATATATTATTAGCTCATCTGACATAGTCAGATGCAGCTTGTAGAATCGCATGATCGTCCGTCCGTCCGTCCGTCC